TCGCCCGCCCCGCCGGCCGGGCGGTGCCGGAGTGCCCCTGCCTGGCCGGTGCGGCGGTTTCCTGGGGTTGTCTGAACGTCGATTTAAAGCCTGTCGAACAGGCAGAGGGGCGGGGCGGGCAGGGCAGCGAGACGCGGCGCATCCTGGGGCGGGCGGAAGGATACGGGCGCTGCGCGGCTACCTGCCGGCGGGAGCGGGAATTCCTCTGGGGCGGGCTGCGCTTCGGCAGCGCCGCCTCCGCCTCGGCCGTGAAACCGGCTGACGGGGAGCAGCAGCGGCGGCGGGAGGGCTCCTGGGAAGGCTGCTTGGCGCCTTCTCGGGAGGCTGACGGAGAAGATGGCATCTTCGTGAGGGAAAACTGCGCGCAGCAGTTAATAGCCTGCAAGATGGGCGCCGGGCTTCTCGACGTGACTTCTGGAGCTTCCTGCCCGTCTGCCAGGCCGGGGAATGAACGTTTGCACTCGGGTGAACCGAGCTCGGCGGTGCCGGCGCAAGTCGGTGCCATCAATCAACCGTGAAAGAAAAGGGAGTTAAATTCCAGCTGCTTCTGAAGAAATTAAGCTTCAGTTTCACCATTTGGCAATACTAGAGCATAGCGTTTGCCCTTAATTGCAGTCTGGCACTGAGCTGCTACTTTAAAATCAAATTTATCGTCCTTACTATCTGTGATTTCTCAAGCAACGCTATTAGGACAAGTAAATGCTTTTCCCCTCTTGCCAGCAAAGTCATAAAGCTGCTGTAGGCTAAGTTAGTCTGTCAGCTGGGTTGCACAGCTGTAATTGATTGTCACTCACTACATCACTGATGAAGATGCTCCAGAAATCTCTCATGACTCTTGCTGGTAGCAGAAATAATACATTCGCCACAGAATAGATTCCAATGTACTTGTCCCCACATCCATATATATATATGAATACACAGATTTTTCAGTGAGAACTTGAAGGATTTTGAAAACCAAGCCACGTTACAAGTCATTTGATATCGTTGCCCATAAAAGGGTAAGGATCGTGTGATTAGTGACCGTGAGGACAGAGGGCTTGAACTACTTCCTTTGAAGTCTTAGCTCATTTCTAAACTGAAAAAGATAAGCTTTGATTACTGTCCGGGGTTTCCTGCTCCTGCCTCTGCTTTCCTCCTCCTTGCAGGTATTTGTTTCAAGCATTCAAGATACTAATTAACAGATGAAGCCACCACAGGTTATGGCAGCATAGAAGAGGTGCTGAAATACCAAAGTAGTCCTTAATATGTACATTAACGTAGCAAAT